TTCTGAAGCTTTGTCTGACATACTTTGGACATGTTGCAAGGAGGGACCAGTCCTTGGAGAGGGACATCATGCTTGGGAGGGTGGAGTGAAAGCGCAAGAGAGGAAGACCCTGGATGAGATGGATTGATTCAGTCACTGTGGTAATTTGTGTAGGAGTGTCAGAGACAGTAAGATTGGCACAGGATATGAATCGTAGATAACTCGATGGTACATAACAGCAACATATCTCTTTCCAGCTTTATTCCTTCACATGTGATTTTTTAAATAAAAATTGGATCAGACTCTATATGGTTTTCTTTCAATAACAGCTTAATTGAGATAAAATTCACATAACTCCATTTGTTGCTATTGGTCGGAACTGACTTATAGCTGATCATCTTCTTGCAGGTTTTTGAAAGCTGTACATTACACGGAAAGAGATTGTGCTTGGTGAATTCAAACCAGCAGAGAGATTTTTTGGATTAGTAATGTAACTCCCTGTAGACTAGGCCCCTACTGATGCTGTTAGGTGCTGTTAAGTTGACTGACTTACAGTGACGCTGTGAACAATACATCTGAACCCTGCTCTGTCTATCTTGTGTGATCGTCATCTCTGATATACTTGAGCCCTTTGCTGCAGTGACTGTGTCAATCCATCTTGTTGAGGACCTTTCTTTTGAGGACCTTTTCAAGAGTGATGACTAGGATGAGAGAAGAAGAATCCACGCCTTTGAGTTGTGGTGTGGGATTTGTTGATGTTAATTAAGTACTATCTTTCTCTCCTTTGCTGAGCCTCCACTTTTCAAGTATGTCATTTTCCAAGGAATAGCCTCTTCTAACAGCATGCTTAAAGTATGTGAGACGAAGCTTTGAAATCCTTCCTGCCAAGGAGTACTCTGGCTGTACTTTCTCTAAGATGTATTAGTTCTTTTAGCAATGCATGGGATATTCAGTACTCTTCTCCAATACTTAAATTCTTCTTCTGTCATCCTTATAAATTGTCCAGCTCTCAGATGCATGGCAAGTCATAGAAAAGAACATCTCCTGAATCAGGTGCACTTAGTCTAAAAACTTTCTTTCTTTGTTTCTTTCATTTTATTATTTTATATATATATATATATATATATATAATTTCTAAAAGATCAAATCAAAACTGGTTCCTGTTGGGTCAAAGATAAATAAGTCCTGAATGTCCAGCTTCTGCAAACTGCTGTACCACTCCATCACACTAACTTCAGTTACTGTCTTTATGTCAAGACTCTTCCTCCTGTCATTGTGTTCCAAGTTCCCCACACCTAAGGCAGAGGTGAGGTCCCTCTTTACAGCTGAGTAGAAGATGAATTCCTCACTTGCCTAGAAAACTCAAAATTCAAACTCATGGCCATCAAGTCAGAACTGACTCATAACTGATCTTGTAGTAAGCTTTCTGAGCATGTAAATTGCGTGGGAGGAGATTGTCCATCTTTCTCTCTCCAAAGTAGATTTTTTTTTAAAAAAAAAAAGCATAGGATTCCTGTCATCAAGATGCTGCCATTCAACTTTAAACTAGATTTAAAAAGAAACACAGGGTATTTGTTATACAGATGGCTTCCATTCGACTTTCAGACCAACAACTATAGCTCCAATATTGTGTAGATAAGGATATTTACATTCCACAAAACAAACCAGTGGCTACTAAGTCAATTGTGATTCATGGTGGCCCACAAGTTCCTTAGACTTATCAATGACTATGACCTTTCAGAAGCACATCCTTAGACACTTCTTCAAGTACACCTTTGGGTGGATTCAAATGGCCAACCTCTCAGTTAGTACTTAACTTTTTGCATCATCCATGGTCTTGAAGGAATATAGATAAGCATTTGTCTGCCCAAGATAAGATTAGCACAGATGTAGCCATTGAGCAACTTATGACCCTTAAAAGTAGTGACACCCTAGATGATGCCTAGTTACCACTATGGAACATCTTGATCAAAGATTCTAGAGAGGCATTGTGATCAAATGGGGGGAAAACCAACAGAATTTCAAAATCTCCTGGAATCGAGACTTTACAGAGGCTGGATGAACCCCTGAAACTATTGCCTGGAGGTAATCTTTAACCTTAAAGAAAAGACATCCCTGAATATCCTCTCTGAATCTTCCAACCAGTTGTTTCGCCTATCTGGAAAAGAGTGTCTGAAGTGAGCATTGTATTCTTTTAAAGAGTTATCTGTGTGTGAATAAATCGATAACAGCAACAGGAATGATCTAGCTAGTAGGAACCTTCCTTGGCAGTGAGTTTATGTTGATGGGGAGAGCCAGCTTGGAAAAGGAGGATGAGAGTGTTTTCATGTGAATGCAGTGAATTGACCCTTTCAATTCTGGGGGTTCTGGTGAACTCTCACCAGAGAATTCAGAAGATTGGAAAGGCTTTTCTGTCTTTGATCAGGGCTATGTAAATGTGAGATGTTTGTGGACCACCAAGGAGATTGGATAACTTGCTAAAAATGTAAATAAGGTAAATGACACCTTTGTGGAGTGGAACTATGATGCAAATAAGGTGTATAGAACTATACCAAGGGAATTAATCCTTTCTGCCATCTGCTAGGCTTAAAATGAGCCATCCCATAGGTGAAAAAAAGGAATCTAATTGCCATGGGAAAAAAAGGGGGGAGGAGAACCTGGAGTTAAATGTGTCCTCTGGATCTGAGATCCTTTAGCTGAAACTCCTGGACCTACGAGACAGAACTGTAACACCAGAGAGACCATGAGACACAGTAGTGGAATTATGGTACCATGACCAGATCATTGCATGGCAGGTCTGTGGGCTTCCTACAGCTGAGTGCCTTCAAATATGAGACATAGTTAGTAGAGTGGATATCTTTGAGCATTTGTTAGGGAGCTAGATTTGCTAACCAAATGATAATAAATAATATGCCTAGGCTTATTGGTAGAGTGAGGTGGTTTTGATGGCACTTACCCTGTCAGAGCTAAAAAACCTTTGTAACATTTACCTTAGCAGGGCAGAGGCCAAGGCTGCGAGGTTGAGGACCTGAGAGAAGCCTGCCTTCGGGCGCAACTGAAAAGACACTGCTGTGACTGACCAACATTGAAGAACTGTCCTGAGTCGTTCCTGATCCTGAATTGTAGTCTGTTACTTCCTTAATAATCCCTTAATAGTGAGTATTGTTTGCAATTGCTGGGTGGCCCTTGCTACAAATAATTGAACTGAGCGGAGAAATAGTGGATGATGTGAGAGGGCTGGTTGATATATGAATTGGTAGAAAATACATAGAGCATGGGACACAGTGGGTTACTCGGGGTGACAGGCATGTCTGACTTCATAGAAATCAGTTTGGGGCTGATTCTGGAAAATAAGTTCAATCGGGATTCTTCCCCTTTGTAAAGTTAGAGGAGGTCAGACACAAACCTGTGTCATTTTTACGTAGTACATTTGTTGTTATTAAATGCCATCGAGTTGAGTACGACTCATAGAAACTCTATGAACAACAGATCAGAACCCTGTCCTATCCTCTCCCGTCCTCACCATCTCTGACCCACTTGAACCCATTAGTATACTGTATCAATCCACCTCATGGAGTCTTCCCCTCTTTCCTTGACCTACTTCCTTCCCAAGCATGATGTCCTTTTCCTGGAAAGAGCCTCTCCTAGTAACATTTCCAAAGTATGTGAGATGGATTTCACCATCCTTGCATCCAGGGAGCGCTCTGGTTTCACTTTCTCCAAGACAACTACAGGAATGTAATCAGTAACAGTGAATTGTTAAATGTAGAAATTGTTGACTTGGTATATGTTCTTCTGTGTATATTTTCTTTGACGTTAATGGCCCCAAATTCTGACATAGGGACCAGTTAGTCCAAAGTCATTAACCTTTCCCATGTCTTCCAGAACACTTGATGTCAGCACACTGCTGGCCTGGTGACTTTTGGGCCCAGCACAGTTGATGCCACAATGTCAGGTTCACTCCTTTCTGACTCAGCTCCAGCTGCTCCCTAACCTCTTTCACTCACTATTTCTTTCGGCTCCTTGAAACCTTAGCATTCCTCCCCCCCTTTTTTTTCTGGTTCTCATTCTTTCATATTAATACTATGTAAAGATGATAAAAATCAGCTAGTCCAATTAAATGGCTGAATATAGGGGATATCTGTGCAACATTGCTCAATATCATCACATTGATGCTGGCATGTCATGGTTGTGGTCTTCAGCATAATCACTAATGTTCCCCTGCGTTAATTGACCAGTCTTAATCTAGAAAGATCCCTAGTGTATAATATTGTAAATGGGAAGGTCATAGCCAATCATCCAACCAGTGTTAAGACAATGTTAATGCAGAAGCCCTCTTGATTCGGCTATAGGACTGCTTTTGTGTATTTGTGTATGTCTTCAAAAATCTATGGAACCAAACAGTCACCAACTCACCATTTTCTACATGTACACTTCAGTGACAATGACTCCGTTCATCATGTTGTGCCACTATTACCATTATCCTGTCCTCTTCCAAATGATTCCAGCACTATTAACAGAAATTCAAGTCCCCCAAACTAATGACTCCCCTTTCTCCTCCCTCCCACCTCTGGTTACCACTAATAAACCTTGGCTTCTATGCATTTGCCTATTATAGATATTTTCTATAAGCAAGATATTACAATATTTGTCAACTTATGCCTGCCTTACTTTGCTCAGCATCATATTTTCTAAGTTCATCTATGTCATAGAATGTAATTCTTTTTTTTGCCCGTAACTGAGTAGTTGCTTTAAAAAAACAAAAAACAAACAAACAAAAAACCCACCACAAAACGGCTGTTACAAGAACTTTTGAGACTAAGAGCATACCACATTTCAGATTCCATTTTCTAACATGTTGTAGTTAGAAACATGTTTCATGTTTCTAACATGAAAGTTATATAATATTTTATATAACTTTCAGAAAACACTGGAGGTAGCTAAAGAAAGTGCTGTTTTACTATCAGGAAGCTGACTGGCCAAAGCAAGCCTCAGAAAACCGAAACCTCTTTTCCTTTTTCTCTGCAGCTACAAAGATGTCTGTGAAGAACCACATAGCTGCCAGAGCTGCGCTTATTGAGCAACTCATGTCTGACAGAAATTTTGAGGATCTTGGCAACCACCTGACTGAACTTGAAATGATTCATGTGACGACGGAACATCTCCAGGAGACAGATGTGGTCAGAGTTGTGTACAGAGTCCTCAAACACTGCCCCACAGTGGCTTTGAAGAAGAAAGCCAAAGGTCTCATGTCAAAGTGGAAAGCTCTTTATAAGACTACTTACGTCAAACCAATGGACAACCCTCAGTTAGTCACCATTAGTAATAAGGAAGAGAAGCTGGGGCTTCCTCATGCCCCAAGTCAAGATGAGACCTTGGATGGCTGCAGTTCTCATTCTCAGCTCTCATCCCAAGATGTTGCAAAAGCTAGTGAAATGACTATGCTAGCAAATAGTGCAGGTCACATGGGAACTAAGGAGGGACACTGCAGTGATTGTGATCCTACACTCATTGCCAAGGAATCTAGTGAGTCACTGGATCCCACAATGCCTATGAGAAAAAAATGCATAGAACTTCTTTACAAAGCTCTAACTAGTTCTTCCACAGATCCACCAAAAGCTGATTTGTGGCAAAAATTTGCAAGAGAAATAGAAGAGCACATTTTTGCCCTCTATTCAAGAAACCTCAAAAAATACAAAACGTGCATCAGAAGCAAAGTTTCCAATTTGAAAGACCCTAGAAATTCTCATTTGCAGCAAAGCTTGCTCTCGGGGATCATGTCACCAAGAGAATTTGCTGCAATGACTGTCCTAGAGATGGCCAACCAGGAACTGAAGAAGCTGAGAGCTGCCTATACAGAATCTTCTATACATGAACATAGCCTTCCCCAGGGACTCGATGGCATGCCAACAAATAAAATCAAATGCAGACGCTGTGAAAAATACAACTGTAAAGTCACTGTGATTGCGCGAGGAACACTTTTCCTTCCAAGTTGGGTACGGAATTCCAATCCCGATGAACAGATGATGACTTACGTGATTTGTAATGAATGTGGAGAACAATGGTACCACAGCAAGTGGGTGTGCTTATAATTGTCATTAAATGTTCCCTTAGCAAAACAACTGGAGTAATACCTTTTATTTATACAACTCGAGCTTGTTTTTAAATCGTGTACCCTAGTCTTAAAACAATCCTAAGAAGAAAGAAAGGAAGCAGTTTGCTAGTGCTCACACCACAGTTGCCAAAAGTTGATAATCTGGGGAGTCCTACTCATCTATTCTAAAGTTTCTTATTCACCAGTCCTTGGAGAGATACATTATGCTGGAAAAGGTATCAGCAAAAGATAAGACCCTCAAGAAGATTGACTACAACATTGGACTTGAGCATAATGAAGATTGTGAGGTTGATGAAGGATAGGGCAAGATTCGGATACGCTCTTCACAGGGTTGCCATGAGCTATGGTCAACTCGATGGCACCTAACAACACAACTGACCCACTGCCATCGAGTCAATTTCACCCTATGATGACCCTCTATCTCATTCCTGAGGTTGTGAATCATTATGGGAGGAGTTTGTCGATCTCACTCCGGTGGGCCACCTGGAAGCTTCAAACACCTGACCTGTGTAGTACAACACAGCATGCTAAGTGACCAGGGCACTTGATTTGGGGAAAGCATAGGGCCATTTAAATAAAGTTACATTGCACTTTGCAACCATTTGTTGTTTAGCTCGCTGGCCCCTGACTCATGGAGACTTCGTGGAACAATGGATCGCTAGCAGCCATAAGGTTGTATCGGAGATGCATTATCTGGAAACCAAACTCAGCTCTCCTGTTTCCCCATGAAAAATCTCCTCTGGACCTACCAGTGCCCCCTTTTAGTTGCCATTTATTGGCTTGCTGTTCAGTGTGTGGTGGTAGACCAGTAGTTCAATACAAGAGCCTGTTAGAAATGCAGATTCCCAGTCCCCACAGTCCTAAATTACAAAGTTTGCATTTTTGGCAAGATTCCCAGGTGACTCTGTTCATCATAGTTCCAGAAGTTGTACTTGAACAAGAGGTCTGTAATTTTCATCAATGGCTACATATTAGAATCAGCGTCCACCTGCTGATTCCAAAGGCCAACAGTTGTGAATCTCTCAGATCAGCCTCATTATGTGCCGTCAAGTCACTTATGACTCATAGAGAACCTATGTACAACAGCTCTGAATCGGCACTATCTTGAGCCAATTTCATTTTCTCTGACACACCTACCCCCATTACCCTAGTCACTGAGTCAATCCATCTCATCCAGGATCTTCCTCTTTTACACTCTCCCTCCAACATTCCAAGCATGATGTCCCCCTCTGCAAGGACTGGTCCCTTCCTACAGCATGCCCAAAGTATATCAGATGGAGCTTCAAAAATCCTTGCTTCCAAGAAGCATCCTGGTTTCATCCTCTCCAGGACAAACTTGTTTGTTCTCCTAGCAGCCCATCACCCTCTCCAGGACAAACTTTTTTGTTCTCCTAGCAGCCCATGGTATTTTCAGTACCCTTCTCCAGCACTACAACTCAAAGGCATTGATTCTTCTTTCATCCTTAGTCATTGTCCAGCTCTCTGATGCATAGCAAGTACTTGTGAAGACTCTTGCCTGGATCAGGCTAGTCTCTAGACTGACATCGTTTTTTTCTCAGTACTCTGGCGAGGTCCTTGACAGCAGATTTTCCCAATGCAATTTGTCTCTTGATTTCCTGGCTGCTGGTACCTATTTATGTATTTATTTTCCTTTGCAACAGGACTTGCTTTCAGGGACTGTGTCTCCAACAGAATTGCTGCAATGACAATCAGCCTACATAGAGCCATTTATAGAGAGTGTCAGTCTGCTCTCTTTCTCCCTCTAAATTCACTGTCTAGATTGTGTCACTAATGACTTCTGAGGGTTGGGGCCTAATGAAGAGCGCTTTCAGGCTACAACATCTGGTGACTAGAGCTACATTCTTTTCGCTGCTCTTTTCCCACTTCACAATCCTCTGTAAGACTGTGAATATCACCCCATAACTCATCCCAGTTAGAGTTCTGTTTTAAGTACTCTTGTTTGGTTTAAGAAGTTTAATCCCCCCTCCCATTTTCACATATTCTGCAGGGCACGTAAACCCTGTCATTTGTTTTCTGTTCAGGGTCTTCTTCTGAAGGGCATGTGTGTTCAATTCTGAAGCACAAATTCTGCTCGTCAAACTGGGCAGTCCATCTCTCAGAGGAGGTCTACCGATGTCTTGGAGACCACCAGCATTTCTAGAATGAATGGAATGACAATGACTTCCTTGAGGCTTTTGCCAGTAGTGTTTCCCCATTTGTATACTTGCTTGCACATCACAAACCACCTCTGTGATCACAGCTGAATTTTTGTCTTTTACAAACATCCTACAACGTTCACTAGTTTTACAATTTTGAAAAGGTTACTCCTGCATTATCTACAAACCTTCTCAACTTCACTAGTTCTTTTCTCCCATCTCTTTTAACTTCCTTTCTTAGGAGAACTACCTTGTCCTATCGATGAACAAAGACAGACACAATGCTTAATGGATCCTGAGCAGAGTGATGGAAAACTTCAGGAACAGTTAATATCCTATGACAGAATTTTCCAGAAGACATGTAAAATTGAAATGTGTTTTTTTTTTGTTTTCAAGTGAAGTTGAAGAAATAGGCTTGAGGTAATCAAGTGTGAATATTCTTTTGTTGTCTTCATGTGACGTCAACACGGTGATTGTTAATTGCCATTTGGTCGGGTCTGATTGATGACAACTTTATTATAACTGTATTATAATGAAAAGGAACGTTGCCTGGTCTTGTTGCATTACATGAATCCTGGGTCAAGTCCACTGTCATGACTGTTGAGTCAGTTCCCTTCATAAAGTGTTTCCCTCATTTTTTTTGCTGATCCCCTACCAACCATGATGTCATTTTCTAATGATTGATATTTCTTGATGAGAGATTCAAAGTAAGTGAGCAGTAGTCTTACCAGCCTCGCTTCTGAGGAACATTTTGGTTGTATTTCTTCTAGCAAACCACAGTGCTCTTCGCCAGCACCACAATTCAAATGCATCAGTTCTTTCTGTCTTCCTTTTTTTCACTGTTCAGCTTTCCTTTGCTTCTGAGGCAACATAGTTCAGGGAAACTTGCCGAGTCATCTACAAACCTCAAGTTTCACAAAATGTGGTTTCATATGACTTGGAATGATCTTAAAAGCTATTCAATGGTAGTGAAAGAACATAGCACTTGGAAACCACATTGGATTAGTTCATGCCAGTATTTGTTGTTTTGTTGTTGTTGTTTTATAGACCTTTTTAATTTTCCAGACAAAAGCCCTTGAAATGGAAATTTCCCTTCTCTCTAAGACATAAAAATCAGGGTGGCCTTTCCCCACCTTATATCAACTTTGGCAGTGAATTTTGATACTAAAGTAGTATATATTTTTTTCTTTTAGTAAGTGAAACAGCACAACATTTTTAAAGAACATAACACCATTGTTGTACTCAAGAGAAAAAGTTTTTTATTAAAAAAGCATGTATGCATGAGTAAACCAGTATCAAAGCATTTCATTCATGTAAGATTTATAAGTTCTATGTTTACATGAGATCTTGTGAAAATGTAGATTCTGATTCAGTATAACTGGGATAGAATTACATTGGTATGGTGTGTAACAAATCAGGCTGCTAACCGAAAGGTCAGCAGTTTGAATCCCCCAGCCACTTCATGGGAGAAAGATGAGCACTCCTTTCTTGTAAAGAGTTGCAGCCTCAGGACATTTGGAGGGTCTCTATGAGCCGGAACCAACTAGATAGCAGTGGGTTAGTGGGGGTTGTGGGGGTGGAGGGGACAGGAAGTGGGTGGCTAGAAATGCAGGGAGACAAACCAAAAAGAACTACATTTTTTGAGTCCTGGATATAAGTCTGTCAGAAAAGGACAAATACAGCATGATCCCACCTTGTGAAATAGCTGGACCAATATATAGAGATCAGAATTTATTAATATTATTAATGGTGAGTGCGAGGGAGGAGAAAAGGAAAACACAAAGCCTAAGGCGCTCTAAGCAGAGTCATGGAAAAAATTGGGAATGGTTGATGGTTAAACAGCAACATAATGAACTTTACTAATGTCCCTGAAGTGTCCATGTGAAAGTTGTAGTACTGGCAAATGGTGTGTTACCCATATCTTTACCACAATTTTTAAAATCACTGCCATCAGTTGACTCATAGCGACCGTGTGAGCAGATTTGAATCCATCCTTTCCTGCACCATCCTCATCATCTCTGACACACTTGAGCTCATTGCTGCTGTCACCGTGTCGATGCCATCACGTCAGCTTTGGCTCATAACCACACTATGAACAGCATATCTGAACCTTACCCTTTTTACCATTAGTTACTGTTGTTGTTGTTGTTATTAGGTTCCGTCAAATTGCGTACGACTCCTCGTGAACCTTTAGACAAGAGACCTGTGTGCTGTCCTATCCTGTGACATCCTCATCATCTCAGACACAGTTGAACCAATTGCCACAGTCACTATATCAATCCATCTCCTCTCCTTTGCTAACTATCATCTTTTCAAGTATGCTGTCCTTTTCCAAAGAATAGGCCCTCCTAGCAACATACTCAAAGTATGTGAGACAGAACTTGGTCATCTTTGCCTCCAGTGAACACTCTGGCTACACTTTTCCCAAGACATACATGTTTGTTCTTTTGGCAGTCCATGGGATATGCAGCTCCAAATCCTTGATTCTTCTGTCATCCTTAGTCATTGTCCTGCTCTCAAATGTATAGCAAGTTATGGGAAAGACTATGCCCTGAATCTGGTGTACCTTAGTCCTCAAATTGACATCATTTCTCCTCAGTACTTCAGAAAGGTCCTTGACAGCAGACTTTCCCAGTAAAAAACGTCTTTTGCTTTCTTGACTGCTGTACTAAGGGTGTAGATTTTGGACCCAAGTAAGATGAAATCATTGACAACTTAAATCTGTTATCTATTATGCTGCTGCCTGTTGGCCCAATGGTGAGGATTTTTTTCTTCTTGATATTGAGATGTAATCGATATACACCAGAGAGCTCTGGTGGTA